GTTAGATTTGGACGCCAAGTATAAAGCCGAGGTTTCGCTTGAAATGCCTGCAAGGATACGTGAGCCTGGTCAGTGCCGATCAACGAGACAAGGGCAGGGCAGATGACATTGCTTACCTTCGCCGCGCACCAAGGGCTGAATGCTAGGACTGATCTTGGGGCGCAAATTAGGACTGGCGTGCGTCGAGCTCAGGCTCTGCCGTTTCCTCCCCATGGGACCAAGCTTAGGTGTTTCCGACTTTTTCGCGATCGGTCCGCTAGGAGAGGGCATGGCCATCGTGCGTGGGCTCGGTGCAATGGAGCCAGGATTCCGATCAATTTTTGGCTCCAACGACGGTGTGATACTCGCTGATGTAACCGGTGTAGCCGAGCCTGACTTCATGGCGGTATCAATGCGTGCGACCTGAGGTCGAGAGAGTTGTGATGACGGGGTGGCAGCTTCCGGGAGCATAACATCCTCCATGACGTCGTCAAAAGATTCTGTGGATACGAGCCTTGCTTGGCCATTGAATTGACCTGTTGGATTCTCCACTGGCTGGGGCCGTTGAAGACGCATCAACATTGCAGGGGTTGCCGGAGCGCTCGTTTGCGACTGATCGGCTTGTGGCACTATGGCGGGGGACTTTCGCGCAGGGGGCAGGGCAGGCGGCGGCATCAATGGTTCCGAAAGGGGTTCCGGCGATACAGAATCTTGGTCGGAGCTCTCATTGCTACTCTGACGAAGCCCACTCACACCGTGAGGCAGTATTTTGGAGACTCCTTGATCCTGGCTGAGACCATTGAGAACTTCGTCGGAGTTGAGATTCAGCATTGACTTCTTTCGTGTCTGTGGGCGTACAGATGGCGATTGTTGTTTCTTGGCGCGTGACGAAAATGATTTAGTGGTCGATGGCCGGCGACGATGTTTCCTCATCAAGCCAGGGGAGGAAGGAGCAGAAGAGCCGGGGATAGCGTCGGCAGGAGAGTGCAGAAAACCGACCTCGGATACCGACTGGAACGGATAGCCATTGCCGTTGGAGTTCTGGGCCTCAAGAGCTGGAGAGGTGAGGGGGGTAAAATACTCCCCGGGAATTGTGTACTCGGGCAGTCGAAATTGAGTTTCTAACGGTGTCATAGCGGGAGAGACGAGAGGAGTGTAGAGTGCCTGTGTCAATGCGGGTGCATGCATTAGCCTGTGCGCTCCCATCACAATGAGCGCAGGACGCGCCGGGTGGGTTTAGTCTCACCTGCTCTTCGTTCATGCGAGGGTATCGGTCGTACAATTCGTGGTTCTCATCCACCTGGGCCGGATATCGTGCTGCATTACCCTGAAGCTCAATACTGTTCGGAGTAGGGGGAATGATCGTTTGGCCGTGGGGAATGTAGGGTTGCGACGTGGTAGGCAGTCCATGATGGGGTTGTTGCTGCAGCTGCTTCTGCGGCGGTTGTTGAGGGTGATGGAACATCTGAGGTTGTGCAAGTTCCTGGTTGTAGAAGGCTGGGGTTACAGGAGCGCTGGTGTAAGACGAGGGAATTTCACCCTGCCGTTGAGATGGCTGGTTGTGGCTGGAAAGATCGAACGAGAAATCGCCCATGATGCGATTATTGTAGGATGAAGACGAGTGAGCGCTGGGAAGGGAGTCGGTCTCCATGCGGACCAGTTGCTCCTGCTCAGCAGTGGTCGTAGGCATCATCGACACTGAGGCGGGAAGAGAACGAGGAGGTTGTAGCTGTCGCTCGCCTGGTCCGTGCCCCTCCAGATCGGGAAAATGCATTCCAAACTCCAGAAAATTAGTGAATTCATCTTCGCTAGAAGCCGCCATGAGCGATTGTTCCTGAAGGGACCCCGGCCATGCCATCGAGTTGTCCTGGTCCATGATGGGTTGGTACGGGCGGGTGCAGAAGACGCGATCGTGATCTAATCCGGCTGATTTCGTTTCGACTCTTTCCCACCTCGATTTCTTTCTCTTCTATGTCGGAAACTGCAGAATACTGACGATGAGGTCAAGCAAGGCTGAATTGGGACTTGACCATTCACTGAGGGAAAAGAGTGAAGAGAGCTTCAGATCGCAGTGTAGTGATAAGGAAAGTGGGACAAAATGCACACTGGAGGAAGTACTCTGCTCCGACGAACGGCCGGTCGGAGATTGACAAGGCTGTCAAATTTTCAACAGAACGAATTGATGGGCATGACGGTAGGATTGTAGATTGACCATGGGTAGAGCAGTGAAAGAGGGACTGGTCAGGTCGACAAGATTGCAAGAGGATGGGCGCGAGGTGGGGGGGTAATGGAAAAGAAGTTTGACTTGCTACTACCTAGGAACCAAGTACTACTAACTAGTGTCCGTATCTTCGTAAGGGAACGAGGGAAAAGCAACCGGGTAAAAGCTACGAAAAAGAGATGGAGCCGAGTTTTACTATGGGTAGCGGAGTACTACTAATTCTGCTCAGCTTCTCAGGATTTCTACAAAGTCAAATGATACAATCAAGATGGCTTTGGTAATATTCAAGGGGGAAAAAAAGGAAAAAAAAGGAAAAAAAAAAAGGAAAACATAAAATAAGAGAAAAATAATACGCGGAAGTAACAATAGATATTATTATTATTATTATCAATATTACTACCGGAGAGGGACAGAGTATATTAAAAACCCAAAAGGATGAACAAGAGCACAAGCTAAGGCAAGTATCGAGCTAGGCCAACCAGTACAGGGTACTACTGCATTATTATTTGTCGGATATAAGCGAAACAAAAAGTACGAAGCAGTAAGAAGTACTCGGATAGGTTCTTACTAGGGGAGGTAACCTGCAAGCCATTTTATTACTACCTGGATTTGTGATTCTAGAACTGAAGCCAAACACCCTTCTGCACATTAGGTATCCACAGAGTAACATCGATATTGCCAATTTAATGATCATCTGCGTCAAGGGCAGAGAAATGATGATGAGAAAAGAAAAAGAGATCAGGGATATTCTCCGCTAATTAAGCTCCAGCCGCGAGGACAAGAATTACCAGACGAATCCAGAATTAGGATCAGAATGGGTTTATCATAATAAAGGGTGCCAATTTTATCAAAAGGCTGCTGGTAAATGAAAGGGCAGCAAGCAGATCCAGATGAAGAGTCTACTTGGCCTGACCCATGGGACATACATAATGATATACCATGTATACGTCCTGTTTTTCCCTCTAACTTCCCAGCCTTCCCTCATACCGAAAGGTTGATTCATGCTTCCCCAATCAGCGTCTTCTCAGGGGGCTTCAATGAGTGGCAAACCTGAGTACATTACCCCCGACCGATGATTTTCTTACTGGATAACACCATTTTAATAGAGCATTATCACCTTTTTGATATTTCTGTATTCCACAGAGGAACAAGGTCCCTATCCTTTGTTGAACTTCTTGACTATCACCAGAATTATATATCAGGTTGACTCTCACCCTTGACTCCCTCTGAAGAAGACCAGAACATGATCCATGGATCCAGATTGTGCTCTTGTGATAATGGAGGTATCAGTTATCACTTGTCCATTTCTGCCACTAAACCTAATCTGTGAACAGCTTTTCCTAAACAAGCATAGCCTCAGCTCTTCTTTCCTCGCCAGATTTTAAAAGCGGCAGGTGCGCTTGTGGATTATTCTCTAGACTACGTAGTTCCCTCAAGGTGGCCTGTGCAAGTCAGACTACCGCTTGAGTATTAAATGCAATAATAACAAATGCGAGTGATTATCATCCAACATACCTGGAGGGTGTCCATGCACCTGATCATGAAAAAGGTCCTATCTCCATGTCAAGGTAAATCGGGGCAGGGCCACTTGAATCCTTCCGTCGTCTTATTCCTTCCTCGGAACAACCAGGTTACCAGGGAGCATCACGACTCAACAAAATCACATTAACGGGGCACTTTTCAGTTTTACTGCGCGACTACCTTGGGCTATTTCGTTAGACCAATGGAGCCTTTGGAGCTACCAGTAAAGGTTTAGTAGTTTCCACTGGAGTGACCGGGCTACCTACTGAATTCCTCCTAGGTTAGTATCTAGGTCGCTTCTGACTCTCTTGAAAATCAGATACCCAAAGTCCGATTGGTCCTCTGAGGCGTTTGAGGTGAAACGATCAATTTAGTTCAATACTCAGGTGATGACATCGCGTATCCGATCCAATCCAGTCCAAATACGCTTCTAGACAAATACCTAACTATGTACGTACTATCTGTCTAAGTAGGCGTACAGCTCACTCTCTTCAGTGGGCTGAATTCTGTAAGAAAAAAGCTGCTACTGCGTAGAGTAACTCTGGGTGATCGACTCAGACCCGCTAACTACGACGGTGTAGCTGATCACCATGCAAGATCCCAATGCTAAGAATATTATGAAGGTTTCACATCCCAATGTACATCCCCGTAGCGCGAGGTAGCAGAGATGGTTTCCTTTGGGTTACGTGCCTCTTATCAATCTTCAGATCCTGAATTACAGAGTAAAAAAGTACGGCATCTCTGGTCAGTGACTCAACGACTGCTCACTTGATCACTGTTTCTGTGATCCGTTGCTAAATAAGTAATACTTGAAAGTCTTCCAACTTGAAGCTATCATTTCTGCAGAGTATGAGGAAACTAATGTACATTGCTGCCACACGTACGATCGAGAGGTCACGTGGCTATGGAGTAAAGTGCTTACAAAGATACTCCAGCCAAATTGCGGGGTAACTGTTGGGCTGAGATGATAACATGACATGACATGACATGACATGACATGCCACAATGGTCATCAACCTCGTCCGCGCCAGGGAAGGTATTCGGACAGCCAGACAGCTGCATACCTCCGTCCTTACCGCTTCCTTCCTTAGGTATTACTTATCTAAGGTACCTCTCTACGTACCTAAGGATTACAACAATCCATCACCAAGCAAATGAGCTCATCTCTTTGCAGCCTCCACCTCCCCCAGTAGCAGCAAAGCCCCCATACCATGTTCCATCTTCCCCTTGAAGGGGACCGAGCCTTTTTGCCAGTATACTCACCAACTCTTCACTAATCATGAGACCACCTGTACCTGAGGTTTCCATGCCTCGATCCCGCAAGCCTTCCATCGAGCAGCCGTGGACCGATGCCCGCAGTACCGCCCCTGCGACCTTTTTCCTAGCCCGCAGTCATACACAGCACTCGGAAGAGCTCTCGCTGGAAGATTCGGATGTTTCGAAAGAGTGTATGTACGGAGTCCAGAGCCTTGAGGACTCTGTTCAAGAGGCCACCAGATCCTCGTCTCAGAACATATTCGATCGATCCATTGGCGATAGGCTCTCTTTTGGCTCTGCTGTAGCGGATCTACGGCCCGATATCAGTCTCGACATCAATGAAAACGGTAATGAGGATGAGAATGGCGTGGATGCGCCACCACTCGGCCGTCGTAGATCCACCATCAGGCAGTTCGACCCCCTTCGAACAGAGGTCTCTTTGCAGCCACCGTCAGATCGTGCTTCATCCCGTCCACTAACCCCGCTCAACCCCGACGAACCTTCGTCTCTTCCCAGCAGCCCGAAATCTGTCTCTAATCAATCTATGAAGCACCTTGACGACATTTCTATCACAGACGATCTCAGCAGCCACGCGGTGGGCTCCGAGGATGAGGGCAATGATGCTCGCGAAGCGCCGAATTCGGCTGGATTCGACAGTACATCTCAGTTAATCATGCCTAGCATTAGGATGCCTAGTCGGAGACCATTCACAGATCGAGGAAAGACTATGGGCCGCTTCAAAGTGCTCATAGCTGGCGCTTGCGGTAAGTGGAACTCGCTCGCATCTGGAATATTGAGATCCGAAGTATTAGCTGAGTTATATCTGACGTACGAGTAGGGTCCGGGAAAACCTCTCTCATCAAATCTATAGTACAAGCTTGTGAAGATATCGTGCATGTTGACCCCTTCCCCTCGCTATCTCCTTCAAACCTGTCAGCTCGCGCGCAGGCCCCAACTGCAGCAGCGGTAATCTCGGAAATCTACGCTAGCACCAAACCCTACCCTCCGTGGTGGTCAGATCTGGAGGATTCTCGCGTTCTGCGGAGGAGAAAGAGTAGTGGCGATATTGTTTTAGAACGGAATCTATGCTTCGTCGATACTGCGGCCAACGGCTTGAGTGGAGTAGGACAAACTGATGCTATTGTTCGTCACATACAGCAACAGCTCCTGCGGGCCACGACGGCCGTGAATTCCTCTAACACCGATTTTGAAAATCTCCTCGCTGGCAACGGCGGAGCACAAGTAGACGCTGTTCTCTACCTGATCTCAGAGAGTAAGTGGTCTGCAACAAATTACTTCCATTGATACGATCGTGCTGACCTTTCAGATACACTTGCGGCGGATATTGAGTGCATCCGGAAGCTCTGTGACTGGACAAATGTTATTCCCCTTATATCTAAGTCAGATCTACTGACTCCCGACCAAATTGCCACTCTTAAATCGTCTTTTCACACGAAAGCCCAGATGGCATCCATAAAACCCTTCCATTTTGGGGATGCAACTTCCGCCGCGGCAGATGGACCCTCGAGTCACTCGCCATTCGCTGTCTCATCCGCGAAAGTAGATGATGAAGACATCATGGACGCTAGCACATTGATGAGCCCAGACTATGTCCAGCCTCTGGCACCCTCCGAGCTTTCGCTACTTGTACAAAAATTGTTCGATCTCGACAACATGGCTTGGATCCGACATTCTGCTGCTAAGAAGCTTGTTCAGAGACAACATTACCAAGGACAGCAATGGGAAGTTTCACGGCACAACACGAACTGTTTTGACGGCCAGAGTACTGTATCCAGATCTACCTCCTCAGTCCTCTCCACTAGTTATCTTGATGGTATCACGTCTCCGCCTAGTGGACGCTTCCCCAGCTATACCATGGCCCGAATATCGGATTATACACAACATGAGGAAAAGATGGCCCGCGTACAGTTGGCCAAGTGGGCCTCGGACTTGCAGCGAAGCCTTCAAAATGAACGAGAAAGTTATGCGGCCTTGGCCAGAGGAGAAAGGGCCGTCTGGCTCACCGAAAGGCTCGGGGAGTGTGTTGTGGATGGTTCGCTGGTGCCGATTACAAAAACGCCCGGGTTTTGTGGACTTCGCCGTCCTACGGAGAATGCAGGCGGTCGCCTGTTCGTCCGCACTCAAGACGGGAAAAAGACGGAATATCGAATTACCAATATCAGTCCGCATGATCCCTTGGGTATTGTGTGGTGGTCCGACGACCTCAAACAACGAGGGTGGGCGATTGTCCAGATCGTTGGTAGCCTCGGTGTAGTGGGAGGGCTTGCCCTCTGGCTTGCGAAAGCCTGGGGTTTATCATCACGCAGTCTGTCTGAATGGCGCCTTGACTGTTGCAGCACCTGCAATTAAAGCTGGAAAGGACATCCAGTACTTCATGACGTCGAAACGAGCTGACCGACAATAACGCTGCGAAAGACGATCGAACCAAACTGTCCCACTTTAACTTGTCCTTTTTCATAATTTGACATCAGATCCTCTTCTCGTGTCCTTTGTTGATGGTTGCTGGCCTTGATCAACCAATCTCTTATTCATCCTTGGCATCTCTGTTCAATACACATATACATGGATGTATGGGAAGCAAATCTCGGTGTTTCGAGGTGTCTAGGGCGTTTCAGGTCATCGGTTCTACGAACACATTTCACCCTGCCGGTCTTTGATTCATATCCACTTTAATTTGTGATGCTACGTATCCTCTCATCTACTCCCGGAAGAAGTATGTACTATCGGGATGTCCTGTTCTTATAGGCAGCCTACATGTATGCTACCCTTGATGCTGGCTGGTAGTTTGTAGAGAGCCTAGGGAAATACCATGCCATGCCATGCCATTCTTTGAAAGAAGTCAAATTCAAGAACTTCTGTTTGCGTGGACTGGCGAGACGGAGTCCTGATCTACAGAATTGATTATGAATGCAAGTGAACGAGAATAAAGCTTTTATTCCGATGAACTATTGGTCTACCTGACTGAAAACGCTCTCATGATCTTCACAAGAAGAAACATTAAGAACAAAATTCAAAGTCGAAGTAACTTGGGTAAAAAGAAAAACGCTCAAGAACGCCATTTGCTGTGAATCACATCATCATTCAGGATATACCATCTCCTGCCGTTCCCATCAACCGAAGAAAGCAATATCGTTCAGTGATTAGTCCTGATGCAAATACCGCTGGAACAGGTTTGAAAAAGGTCGTAAAATATTACATTAGAGAGCAACCGTCTAGTCAACCTCCTCCATGGCGCTCTCGCCAGTGGTGGCCTCGGCAGGAGCGGCCTCCTCGGTAGCCTTCTCCTCGGCGGTCTCGGCCTCCTCATCAATGTTCAGACCAAGAGACACGAGCTTGTGAATACGCTCAGCGAAGCTGGCAGGCTCCTCGATGGTGAAGCCGGAAACAAGGAGGGAGGTCTCGAAGAGCAGCTGGGTGATGGACTTGACAGTGCGGTCGTTCTCACCGTCGGCCTCAACCTTCTTCTTCAGCTCCTTGATGATGGAGGACTTGGGAGAGATCTCGAAGGTCTTCTTGGAGGACATGTAAGAGCTCATGGAGGTGTCACGCAGAGCCTGAGCCTTCATGATACGCTCCATGTTGGCGGACCAACCGAACTGGCCAGTGCGGATAGCGCAAGGAGAGCCGACGAGCTTGTGGGACACGACGACCTTCTCAACCTTATCGCCAAGGATGTTCTTGAGGCTCTTGGCCAGGTTCTCGTACTCCTTCTCCTCCTTCTCGCGCTCAGCCTTCTCTTCCTCGGTCTCCTCGAGCTCGAAGTCCTTGGTGATGTCCACCAGCTTCTTGCCATCGAACTCCTTCAGCTGAGTGAAAGCGTATTCATCAATGGGGTCAACAAGGAACAGGACCTCAAAGTTCTTCTGCTTGAGGCTGTCAAGGAAGGGAGACTTGGCAACAGCCTTGATAGACTCGCCAGTGATGTAGTAGATCTGCTTCTGGTGCTCAGGCATGCGGGTGACGTAGTCGGCGAGGGAGGTGACCTCGTCACCAGACTTAGTAGACTGGTAGCGGAGCAGCTTGGCAAGAGTCGGGCGGTTCTGAGCATCTTCGTGGATACCGAGCTTGATGTTCTTGCTGAAAGCAGCGTAGAACTTGTCGAACTGCTCACGATCCTCAGCGATCTCGTTGAAGAGCTCAAGAGTCTTCTTGACAATGTTCTTCTTGATGACCTTCATGATCTTGTTCTGCTGGAGAGTCTCACGAGACAGGTTGAGAGGCAGATCCTCAGAGTCGACAACACCCTTGACGAAGCCCAGCCACTCGGGGATGAGGTCAGTGGCGTCGTCAGTGATGAAGACACGACGGACGTAGAGCTTGATGTTGTTCTTGGTCTTCTTAGTCTCAAAAAGGTCGAAAGGAGCACGCTTGGGAACGTAAAGGATAGCACGGAATTCAAGCTGACCCTCGACCGAGAAGTGCTTGACTGCGAGGTGATCTTCCCAGTCGTTGGAGAGGGACTTGTAGAAGGCAGCATACTCCTCCTGGGTGATATCGGCAGGGTTGCGAGTCCAGATGGGCTTGGTCTTGTTGAGCTCCTCCTCCTCGATCTTGCTCTCCTTGATAGTCTTGGTCTTCTTCTCCTTCTTTTCCTCCTCCTCGTCGACCTCCTCGATCTTGGCCTTCTTCTCTTCACCCTCTTCCTCCTTGGTCTCCTCAGCCTCCTCGTCAGGGACCTCCTTCTCGGTCTCCTTCAGGACGTGGAGGTAGATAGGGTAGGAGATGAACTCGGAGTGCTTGCGAACAACCTCCTTGATACGGCTCTCGTTCAAGTAGTCGGTCTGCTCATCCTTCAAGTGCAGAATGATCTTGGTACCACGGCCGAGCTGCTCACCCTCGGTATCCTGGGTGAGAGTGAAGGTGCCACCAGCGGCAGACTCCCAGATGTACTGCTCATCATCATTGTTCTTGGAGACAACGGTAACGCGGTCGGCAACAAGATAAGCAGAGTAGAAACCAACACCGAACTGACCAATCATGGAGATATCAGCACCGGCGGAGAGAGCCTCCATGAACTGCTTGGTGCCAGAACGGGCAATGGTACCGAGGTTGTTGATCAAATCCTACAAGCGGGGGGTTAGTCAATCTGATTACTGCAAGCACGAATCTGCAGTTGAAACTGCCGGAGAGAACTTACAGCCTTAGTCATACCAATACCGGTATCACGAATGGTGAGGGTCTTGTTCTCCTTGTCGGGGATAATGTCGATGCGGAGGTCCTTGCCCGAGTCGAGCTTAGTAGGATCCGACAAGGACTGGTAGCGGATCTTGTCAAGGGCATCGGAGGCGTTCGAGATAAGTTCTCGCAGGAAAATCTCCTTGTTGGAGTAGACAGTGTTGATGATCAGCGAGAGAAGCTGAGAGATCTCAGCCTGGAATTCAAAGGTTTCGGAAGACATGATGGCGGAGGGAGAGCGAGATATGAGAAATATAGATTCTGATGTTTGACGCTGTGTTAGCTAGGCCGCCCGAGATTCTCAACTTCTATTTATCCGAGGCAGATGGGGGCAGAAACTGTCCAATTTGACAGAGGGGCAACCAACGGGGACTTACATAGAGGTAGATGGGTGGATTCGTGAAAGAGCGGTAGGTAGAGGGGTAAGCAAACGTTCGCAGAGAGATGAAGCGAAGGAGTCAAAGGGGAGAAAGGAAATAGGTTTGGGAGTGAGGCTTTTTGAAGATGAGAACAAGATATGACTGAGGAGAGAAGAAAAATAGCTGAAGGGGGAACGGCCGACTTAATGTTCTCTGGGCTGAGGGAGACAAAATTTCGATGTGGTGTTTCTACGGCAATCCAGCAACTTCCATGCTCTCCGCTGTTCCACTGGTCGAGCTTCCATCAAGGTTCCAGCGCCTTCTGACGAGCTGGAGATGCTCTTAGCCCCTATCTATCAGGCTGCTAAATGTATCTGGGGATCTAGAAGCTTCATCTGGTTCCCCTTTCAGCTCAATCTTGGCTTTCTCTTGCTTTGATCTTCGCATTTCGTCCGCTGACCATATCTCAGCGATTCTATTTCTGCCTTGCCTGACTGCCTCAGGCTAGTAATCTAGAACGTTCCGCTCCACTGTCTAGTCGCTCGCGGAACCAATCACAAGGCTGCATTTGTATACCGCTTCTCCAGGTCCTCAAACAGCTTATCCTCTACATACCAAGTTCTTAATAACAATAAAAATAATAGGACTGTCATGGCCATTATTGTCCCTTGAATAACAGAGCTTGCCGCTGAAGAACTTTCACAGATTCTGCTCCGTTTCTTGGACTATCTGGAGGTTTACCCGGGCAAGTTGCATTTTCACCTGACCTGTCAGATCAACCTGACAAAACAGGTAACCTGGCTACTCTGAAGCACTCTTTCTGTGGACCTATCTGATATGTCCAGCCTGGACCACAAGGAAGAAGATCATCATCTAAATGAGTGATCGTCTTGAATCTGGTCAGGTCTGTACCTTAGGCATCGGCTCAACAATGGTGAAATATCCATTATTATTATTATTGCACACCCGGCCAATGCTGCTCGTAGCGAGAGCACACCTGGCCTGCTCTCGACTTGTAAGCTATGTAGTTTTTCTGGTCCAAGGCCATTCCTCACTGGTGAACCGGCTCGCCACCTGTTGCAGCCCCAATAAAAGGATAATCACATCAAACGATGGAGACAGCCATAAATCATCCATTTACAATTCATCAATTCGAGATGATGTGGTCAACAAAACACGCATCTGGAAAAAAAGGACACTCGGACTAGCAAAAGGAAACATAAATAGTGAACAATCAGAACAGAGTTGGCCTTCGATCTCGCTATGCTAGAAAAGGCAAAGAGAAGAGGTGAAATAGGTCATGAGAGTACAATGATAGGAAATAGAAGTCATATATCAAATGACCAAAGAAACGGGGGAAAAGGGAGTTGCCAGTGAGGAAATGACATAAGAACTTTTCCAACCGCTAATATGCAGTGTGATAGAAGGGGGCCACATAACACATGGATGTCATTATGAGTAGATGTGAGTAATACATGCCCTGGAATCATCGTAGCACCTCAACCTGATATGCTGCTTTGGACCAGGAGAAGGGGTTAAGAATCGTGGAACGTAAAAAGAGAATCTTCGACAGACCCCATTAAGCAGCCTGAGGCTGGTTGCGGGGCTTGCCGTTCACGTTTCCTCCACGGCCACGGGGAGCAAAGCCGCCACGTCCGTCGCGCTGGAAGCCACCACGGCCCTGGTTGCCAGCACGGTCACCGCGGCCACGACCAGCGCCACCACGGCCAGCACCGTAGTTAGCATTGCCGCCATAAGTGTTACCGCGGGGACGACGTTCTTCAACAAATATTTGTTCGGATCCGATTTGGTGAG